TCTTAAACTTTGGTTAGTATAAGCACAAAGACAGCATCAAGCCGGCTGGAGCAATTGCACATATCTTACACGTTCACGACGTCAAAGGCGATGGGAACTGTGGCTTTCAAGCGGTTGTGGTCAGCTTGGGCCGCAAGTCTGACAAATGGGACTCAGTCCGCGAAGAAATGAAGAAGGAATTCGAGTCGAACAAGGCCTATTCAGACCAAAACTTCTTGGATAACGTATGGGGAGCAGGGGACGACCGAAAGGAAATTGTTGATTCTCTTGCATGGAGAGAAAAGGAACAGCAAGCCCCCCTCAAGTACTGGATGACGTTCCCGGCCCATGGATATTTAATAGCTGATACGTACCAAAGACCGGTTATTTTATTATCGGAACAGATGCCTGCGACTTATCTTCCTCTTTCGCATACTCCAAACAACAACCCTCCCATCTGTCTGATCCTTTTACCTGACTATTCTCATTTCATCAGTTTCACTTTCAAGGCTGAAGTATGGCCATGCCCCAGGATCGATACATTTTGGAAACACTATGTCAGTGATGAAGCACTGGGTTGGGAGGATTGGATTCAAGCCAATGTTGAATTGGGTCAAGAAGTCTTGTACCCACCTGTCAGAAGATCTTTGCGCTTCAAAAAGGCTCCTATTGATGTTGAATAATATTTTTCATTACTGTTCTCTGTACCTTCCTCTGATTTCCTGCTATTGTCCCTCTTCTCAATTTAAAATCCAAACTACGCTCGTTTATGCCCACACTCTTTTGTAAATCCAAATTTGGCCTCACTAGAATATTATAGCATTTTTTACCTTTTCCCATTGATAAATTCAAGTTTGGAAGGGTGAATAACCACCAGGAACTTCCCACTGTGCTTGCATCAATAAAATGAGTGGGAGCAAGAATTAAAACGCAAAGGAATCATTTTTATGAAAAATAAATTTTACCATTAAATTCTACACTTTTCAAAGTGTAGGAAACAAATTTACAATGTCAAAAAATAATGAAAAACAAGCCACTAACAATTAATTAAAAAAATGAGTGGGAACAAAAATTACAATGCATAAAAATCATTTTTATGCAAAATAAATATTACCATTGAATTCTACACCTTTCAAAGTGTAGGAAACAATTTTACAATGTCAAAAAATAGTGAAAAACAAGCCAGTAACATTTAATTGTAAAAATGAGTGAGCAGAAAAAAAAATCAAAGTCATTTTTATGAAAAATAAATTTTACCATTAAATTCTACACCTTTCAAAGTGTAGGAAAAAGCTTTACAATGTCAAAAAATAATGAAAAACAAGCCGCTAACATTTAATTGAAAAAATGAGTGAGCAGAAAAAAAAAAAATCAAAGTCATTTTTATGGAAAATGGACTTTACCATTAAATTCTACACCTTTCATAGTGTAGGAATAAATTTTAAAATTTTGAAAAAACTCGAAAAATAAGCCGTAAAAAATTAATTAATAAAACCGCGTTTAAACGCGGAAACCGCGTGCGCTGCGGCGCATCCAAACCGCGTCAAAACGCGGAAAAACCGCGTTTTTTTATTAAGGCCCTAAATAGTAAGAGGAAATGGAATAAAATAATAAAATGAGGAAACCATTGGACTGAGTGGGGATTTGAGGTGATAATATTGAAATCTTGAGTCTTGAGGATGTTGAAGAGTTGAAAGTTGAATTCTGAAATTGGACCTTGAGGGGGCCTGTACCGTTTAGAACACCACAACGGCTTTGGTGGGATCAGTCATCTGAGACCATACAGAATACTTGTCTCACTTTTCAAATACAATACATGTGTATTGTCTCAGGAAAGTGAGACAACACAAATCCGGTATTTTTGGGTATTCAAATTCTGAGACGATACAAATAAACGCCTGATACCGTCTCGTATTGTCTCTGTTGCACCGTTGATGATCTCGTATTGTCTCTGTTGCACCGTTGATGATACTGATCTCCTTCTTTCTTTATTCTTTTAATAGGAGCAGACCGGGATAAATTTTTACCCGGTCCAAGGTTGCTGGTCTCCTCATTTTGCCCCCTTGACTGGGAATTTCCCACCAGGACTCAGAAGTCCTGATTTTGTCGACTCTGGCTCAACTGACGGGAGTTCGGCCACCGAATCTTCGAGCACTTCAATTTCTGACGGCTTCAGCTCTGGGTCCAATTTTAAATCCAGCGCCCCAACTTCGGGACTTCTGTCCGTTCCGCACTCGTCGGCGTTCCCGTCCCCTTCTTCCTCGGATCTTTGCTTGGTTCCGCCCTCTGAAGTGTTTTATGCTACTCGAGAAAGGCCCAATCACCCTGCCACGGGATCTGGCAACTCCTACGCTGACCCCATGGTCATTGACGATGATTCCTCTTACGACTCCAGACCAGAATCTATTCCTTTTGGCCCCACCACCAAGTGGGGAAACACCCAGCCGGCCGCTCCTCCAGTCAACGCCGCCAATCCTGACCCATCGGCTCGAGACATGATGGAGTTCAATTATAATATGATTTGAAATCGTCTTGTCGGTGCCAATCCATATCTATTTGGCACACAAGTCTACCGCGAGGAAGACCTCCTCTTCTTATTCCCAAACGTTGCCAACAACTTTATCCACTTATCCAATAAGTATCCTGCATCCACACTTGGCGAGATTGATATCGCTGAGATTCTTGAAGAAGGAGAGTCAAAGTTCTTGTCAAGTCTAGAGTCCAATGATTGTTTTGGGGAGCGGTTTTGATGAGTATTGAGCTCAAACCCTAAGCGGTACTTTCAGTCTTTTAAGAATTGCGGCTATCTTTGCTGCGGCTGAGGTCACGGCTAGGAGTGCGGATACTAGAAAACACAACATTAACTGATTCTTTTTCCGTTAGTCAATCTACTACTACTGGCTGTTAAAATAAAGATTTGCAATAAAGAGTCTCTTTGTGATCTTCACAGCAAGTGCAATATTGCTGGAGCTTTAGAGGTCAAAGAAGTCAACTTGGTCAGCAAAAACAATCAGGTACAATCAACGGCAACGATGTTATTGATCAACGTTCCCTTTAGCAATAAACAAATGAATTGCCTTGATCAAAATAGCTGAAGAAAAAAAAAGTAACAAAATGACCCAGCTGGAGGAAATCATAGACGGAGTGAAATGAACTTCTTTGATCGCTTGCACTCTAGAAGTTGTGAACAGTTTGACTTCCGTACGTTTTTATTTATTTATGTATGTTTTCAGTCCCAGTTACAAGTCGCGCCTGACGCACTACAAGCGATTAAAGTTGACGAGAAAACCCCTTTTGACTTCAAGCTTTCTTCCCGGCAGTACCACTCGAAATTTCGTTCCTTTTGAAGAGTTGTCGGAGGCTGAGCCAACTAAAAACGAGGGCATTTAGTCTTCTGCCTCTCATACCTAGATTTTACAAGCAGGTAGCTCATCCGTGTCCCGGGTCAGAAATATGAGTTTAAGAAAGGCAGACGGATCGTACTCGTAAGTACATCCATGAAACTTTACAGCTCTTTAGGAACAGGTTTGTTTTTGGAAGTCAGAATTTTCCCATTGCATTGCGTTGGACCGCGCGTCATTGACTGACAGCCACCTTCCTGCATTTCCATTGTATCTTATGCTGATTCCAAAACGCAGCTAAATTTGAGGGAAGGTCATCCATTTTGTTGATAGTTTGGCTAGCACCAACCTGACTCAAGTCCCTTGCTTCGGAGGGTTTGGCATCACCAGAGCATCCCAAGCGAAGGACTTGCATTTAAGATAGGACTGCAGAGAAATTTTAAGACAATTCAAAAATGGTTCCTGCGAGGAGAGAACACTGAATGAAGAATGGTATTGATTCAACCTGAATAATAATGTAGTATTTCATTAAATGAACTTGTGTACAGCTTTAGCTTTGACTCAAATCACCCCTTTTTGTCCGTGGTCTATTTTCGCAGCTCACCATGCGTAATCTTGCAATATAGAAATTTAAGAATCGCGCTTCATAAGCTTTCCTCCTCAAACAACAGTCTTCAAATTCAATGGTGCCTATCCCGTTGTGCTTCTCCCATGAAAATAAGAATATGTGGCCATAAAAATGAACGACCATGCCTGATGCTTTCTACACATTGGATATAAACCTCTGTCTACTTAGTTATGTAGATATTATCTGCTTTGAATTCCGTCCTCAGTAATTGGGTTGGTTTGGATCAAATCACATCAGTTACTGAGTCGGCAACTACTTTTGTACTTAAATCAACTATTTATTGTGTATTTTGTCAGGGCCACAAACAGCTGAACATTGCTCAATCCGCGGACAGTTCAGCGTAGAATTCCTCCTGTATTAATCAGGAATTTGTACCCTGTCTGAGTCACTGGCTTTGAATTCTACTTAGCCTCAGGTGTTCTGACAACCCCACAAACCACTTCCATTGATCTGCCATCCGCCCCCCCCCCTAAGCCGACCATCTCTACAATATCCACGAAGAACTAAATTAACGCTTAGAAACTGTGAGTCATGATCTTTTTGTTAAACATTTCCATATCTTCAGACGCCTACGTCTCCAGGCTCTCTTCTCCCGCCATCATCAGCGGAGTAGAATTATCATTCACGAATTAGGCATATTTCCCTTGGTCCCTTCCACTTTAAATATTTTTTCCAAGAATAATCACGCTAGCACTTTTAAATGTTCTTCAATTCCCAGTTTCAATCTCCTGCGCAACTTTTTTGTTGCTCGGCATACATATCTGCTATTACTTGTGTGCACTACTGGTGTTTACTTCCAGTCGCGTCCTTATGGACCACACCTACTTGCGGTATGGAAGTTTTCACCAACTGTTAAAGCCTTCGGCTTTAAGCTACACCAGAGCCACAACATGAACCAGCAATGCCTCGACTACTCCTGGACACGAAAGTGCCTTCTTGAAATTCCTCCCCTCTCCAATGCAATTCTCTTTCTCTATTCTAAGATCTGATAGCATACTCCAGCTTCACTCACAATGGAATCTATGCTGAATGGCCACAGGAAATTAAACATCATGGACCCAATCAATGATATGACTTCAGCTGATGCCGCACGGATTCTAGAACTGTGGGATAGGTAAGCCCCTTCCTTCTACCCTAGCCATTACTTCCAACTTTTAACCAAGCATTCTCTCCAAATCGCTTCATAAATTTTAAAAATGAAAAAGACTCAACAACAGCACTCTAATTGGATGGTGGGCATACATAGATGCAAAGGTTGAATCCCGAAATGCATATGAACGAACATCACGCGTTGGTACGCCTTTTTCAAATAAAATGTCGCTTAAATATGTGACGTACTAATGAGGGTAGCAAATGAATCTAACTTGTATGAAATCAAATCATCAGATGCAACCCAGCAGACCGTGAGCGCAGAATCTGTTGCGGGAGGCTCATACACTTCGTATGTATCAACTTCATCTTGCAAGGAAACATGAAGAACATGAAGATATAGACCAAAACTTGTTGCTTTATCATCCGGGTAATTTTAGCCAACAATCACCACCTGCTGCTGCAACGCGGGCCGAAGGATACTCTCCTAGCCCTGGAGTCGGTAAGCCTTTTTCGACCATCCTGCAAATTTAATGTGCTAATTCAATTAACGACGGCAGAAAACATGTCTAACTTATCGGTGGCTTTTTTCAAAAACACTAGATTCAAACCAGCGGGAATCGACGACAGCTCCTATTGCAGGAGGTTCAAACGATGTCCTGTGCGAATTGTTTTCGTCTTGCGGAAAATTCTTAATCTTAAGCTGACATTACTTGACCATGTTTGATTTTATTTTCGGTGAATATATAGCCAACAAGCGCAATTGGTTGCGCGCCCGCAAGGGCAATCCGATGGGTCGATGGTAAGGCCAGTCGAAGAAGGTAACCAGCGGACATCGACCGCACCTCCTATTGCAGGAGGGTCAAAGGCTGTACTGTGCGTATTGCCTTCATCTTGCGAGAAATTTTCTAATATTGAGCTGACATTCATTGCTTTATTAATTGGGCTATCCTGAAAAAAAAAAAAATGGTGACTATATAGCCAAGAAGCGCAATTGGTTGCGCGCCCTGAAGGGCAACAGGATGTGTCGATGGAAAGGACAGTCCAAAAAGGTAAGTTCCTCTAAGAAACTGAGAATCGATGAGAAGAGGTATGCAATTTACTGGTTGATTTTGATGGTCGCCAACAGTCTCGAATTCGGTTGCCTGCCTCTTTGAAGGGTGCACGACAATCATAAGAATCGATCGATTGTCAAACCTGGAGGCACATCTTATAACACACAATCCTATGAAGGAGAGTAAGTAGCACTTTCTAAAATCTTTCATACCCTGCAAAAAATAAGTTATAACTGAGTCTCGTCTTCGTGCGCCTTTATTTGAAACCAAACGACAGTCGAATGTACAGCATGTGCACAACGGCATAGCTACAAACGGGATAATGAGCTCATCAAACACTTCAAAAGCACTTATCCCGACAAGAAGTTCGAGCCGAACTTGCACATGCGCAAGAAAACCGAAGCGGACATGAAGATGGAAGTGGAACGGTGCCCATTTGTTTGCTCGAAGTGTAACAGTCTGTATGGAACCTTGGAAGAGCTCGAGACACATTATCTCGCCAAGCACGGGCCGACACTACCGGAAAAGGCGAAGGTGCCCAGGAATAGGGCGCAGATTGATAAGAAATTGGAGGAGTGGGAAGATTTCAAACGATCGGCCGAGGCATTCAAAATGCTCCTTGAAGCCCATCGTGAAGCCCGACGTGCAGCCCAACGTGAGGCGCCACAGACCCAACCAAGTGCGTCCAAACGAAAGCGATCATGAAAGTTCATCCATTGAAAGGAATCCATCATGCAAGCTTCAGCCGCGAGTGTCTAGCGCGCGCGCCTTCACACGAACTCCCCCTTCTCCTTCACCTTTCTATCGAACTGTGAGCATACTGCGGGGCTCCTTCCTTATCCCACTGGGATTCCCTATAGCTCCTATACCTCATACCCAAGGGGGAATGCTACGTAATCAGCTAGGGAAGTTTCCTCTTGAATCAAACAAAACAAAATGTAAATACATACAGCTTTTTTTTCGTTCTGTCTTAATCTCCTCCTTACTGGATGTTTTTTGAATCAGTTAAAATGAATTATCACTCCGTTGATAATCTCATAGACGCTTAAATCTCTTGTATGTATATCAGTGATTTATAAGTATAAGTATGTATCTCTACATAAACCAAGATAACAAGATGGTGCATTGCAAGTCATCAATCATCTCCAGGCTTTGCCGGAAATCGAATGCAAATATTGGTCAATGAAGAAGAGCTCGATCGTACCCAGACCTCCTTTGACCATAGCTTAAAATATGTTTGTGTGACAAATGAATCGATTATTATGACTCAAAGAAGTTGGGAGTTTCTTTGTAAGTTAGCTTAGGGAAGATCTAAGAAAACATAAACAGGTGTGCCCAGCTGAAGATAAATCAGACAAAAGAAACATAGCACTCTTGCTGTCTTTTGTGGTGACCTTCTGATGGGTATGCTTGCTACATTATTTTCGCATCGTCGATTATGGACATGTCGTGCATTCCTCTAGGGAGCAAGACTTTCAACGTCTTCTGGTTTGTGTGATGTCTTCTGGCCTGGGGATATAGAAACTGACCAATCCATACACTGAATCAGTACTTCATCGTTCCATCTAATTTTTTTTTTTGTTTCTCTTCGCGCTCCTCGATCCAAAATAAGTGGTTTGCAATGAGCAAGCTAAAAGAGAGACAAACGAACGCGAATTGCTAGTTAAATGGTGAGCACATTGTGTTGAAATACAAATCATATATAGCTGATGCTAGTATTCTAACACATTGGTGTATTGATCCAGAAGCAGCCTTTGCGAAGTCTTGATCACTCTTGCCTCACGCTGATCGTGTCCTGGACTCTTGTCCGATCGTTCCGTGTTCCCTATCGGGGGCTTTGATGAAGTCGGGGATATATCTATGTAGATTTAACTTAACCTGCGCATGTATCTTCTCGGTTGTGATGTGAGCTTAGATAAGCCAGACTGAAACTGATTGGTGAAGTTGCATATATGCATGATGTGCTATGTAAGCCAGTCACAGCTTTTTACCCTCTCTTGACCATTCTTGACCAGCACCGATCAGCACCGACCGATCGAAGCCAACCAACAACCACCACCACCAACCAACAACAACAACCAACCGAGCAACCATCAACAAGCAGCTTGACTCATTTCAAGATGAGCTCAACCATCAGCAACTCACCATCACCAGCAACAACGACAACGATCAGCAGACTAACTGACTTTGTCAAATCAAACAGACGCGCACTACTCATCTCACTCTCCATAGCCATCGCAGCAACAGCAGGAACGATCTATCTCAGCTCATCCTCAAACAGCTCAACAAATTCCTCCTCCTTTTCTTCTTCTAAAACCTCAAAAAAGAAAAAGGACTCAAAAAAATCGAAAAAGAACCGGAAAAAGAATACCACCACCCCTCAGAATCAGAAGAGCGATCATCAACTACCACCATCTAGTCAACTCTCAAGTTCACAGAAGAGCGAAGAAGATGATCAAGAGGATGGTCGGTAATAACTTCTCTCCAAAAAATGCAATGATTCTGTAACTGAAAGAACGGAAAAAAAAACCCACTGCTGTAGATCCCATCAATTTCACGAAGGAGGTCATCGAGAGTTTACCAGAAGAAACACGATGTCGATATGCATTCATCCTGAAAACTAACGGAAATAAGGCATACCAAGCAAAAAATTATCAACGGGCGATCGAGTACTATTCCAAGGCGATCGAATGTGAACAAAAGGCGGTCTATTATAGCAATCGAGCTGCCTGTAAGATACTTGCTCATTCAACAACAACAACAACAACAACAACACAAAAACTAATCTAAGAGCCACTTCTCTTGCTTTTTGTAGGTTACACTTATCTTAATGATCCAGAGGCAGTTGTCAAGGACTGTACAGAGGCCCTTCGATTAGATAAACACTACATCAAGGCCTTGAACCGAAGAGCATCAGCTCGTGAATTACTAGGAGGAGAGGAAAACTTGTTCCTGGCCTTATGTGGTCCGTTCTAATATCCAAAGAGTAATCAACTATCTATCTTCCAATTTTACTCACCTCTCAAATTCTCTATCTATCTTTTTTTTTTTGTGCAGATTTCACTGCTTGTGTGATCCTAGATGAATTTAAAACAGATCATAAGGGTGAAACGGCCGATCGGGTGATGAAACGGTATGCTGGCGAAAAAGCAAAGTCGATCATAAAGGTTGGCACCGTTCACTCAGCTAGTCTAGTCTCCAAAAAGACATTACTCTGACTCTGCATCACCACAGGAACGCGGCCCAAGGTTGCCATCCAACATGATTATTCGAGCGTATTTGGATGCATTCCGACAGAGTATGTTCTCTATCCTACGCTTCTTCACATGAGTTTCCAACACTTATCGTTTTTTTTTAAAAAAAATAAATTGTTTTCCATCATTCCAGAGCCAAAGCCATCACTACCACCAGAGCCTAACCAAGCCGACAATACCTTAATGATGGCATACGATGCGCTTGCGAACTTTGATTACAACCATGCATGTTCGTTATTCCACGAGGCAGTTGAGCAAGTACCTAGTACGACTGAGCTACGGGCGCATGGGTATTTAATGAAGGCGACGTTCCTATTCCTGATGAGCCAGCCGCAAGCGGCGCTTGAAGATTTTAACCGTGCGTTAGAGGAGAAGCCGGATCTAATCCAAGCCTGGATCCGGAAGGCGAGTGTGAACATGGAACTAGGCTCCTTAGAAACTGCGATGAACGACTTCGCAGAGGCGCTAAAGATCGATGTAAATGACCCGGACGTGTATTACCATCGAGGACAGGTCTATAATGTGACTGAACAACACCATCTATCGATCGAAGATTATCGGAGATCTATCGACCTCGACCCTTCTTTTATCTTCTCCCACGTCCAACTCGCCGTGGCCACTTATAAAAATGGCGACGTCCCAAAGGCTATGCAGATGTTTAAGGAATATATGGTCGTCGATGGTCACGAAACTTCTAGCCCTGAAGTTCATAATTATTATGGAGAGTTGCTGTTTGCTGAACAGAAATTTGATGAAGCTTTGAAACGCTTCGATTCGGCAATTCAATTAGAGGAAAACAGGTTCGTTCTAAAAACACTCGTCCATACAATCCCCCAAGAGTGAGAGATGAGAAGATTCGGAGTTGAAAGACTAATTGGGAATGAGGGAGAATTTGATTTTTGTTTGGGAAAAGGACGGGACCGAAGAACGTATTACCATGGGTCAACAAAGCATTAGTGTATGCGACGGCCCAATCAGATGTGGCGAAAGCGACAGAGAGCTGTATGAAAGCCTTAGAGATCGACTCGAATTGCGAGGTGGCCATCCAACATTTAGCCCAATTTAAGCTCCAATCAAACGAGATTAAGGAGGCATTAAAATGGTATGAAAAGGGTATCGAGGTCGCTATGACGGAACTCGGTCTCTCTCAGTTCATTCAGTTTCATGTCGCTGCTATGGCTCAATTGGTGTTCATGGAAAATTATCCTGAGGTTTGTCCTTTCTTCCTTTTCTCTTTTTTTTTTTTTGTTTTGTTTTTGATGCAAAGGGGAAACTTATTATTTTTTCTGTGTGTTTTTTTGTGGGACTGTGTGTGTGTGTTCAATTGATGAGTAGTTTGCAGCTCGATTAGGACTACAATAAGAACAAAAAACAAAACAAAAATGCTCGTAATTATCAGTTGTTGTTCCTTCTTGGTCTTGGTCTTGTTGTTGATGATGAAGAAACCATGATGATTTTTTTAAATGATGAAGCTGTCAATGAATAAATGATCACCCTTTTTTCTTCCTCTCTCTTTCTTTTGACACTTTTTTCCATTTTTATTTTTAGAAAAATAAGGATGCTTAGAGAAAACAAATCTGTTTTACACAACTTCCTTTTTCTCATTAGAATGGTATCTGAAAAAAATATATATCTTACATAGTCTCATTGGTCTTCTTTTTCCCCTACACATCCTCCCCCCCCCCCCTTTAATTGATTGAATCTTTGCTTTTTCTTCTGTTCAATCTTCAACATCACTATATAACCAAGTCCATAATCCAAGTCAAACTTTTGGCTGTTTTTTGAGATTCCGTTTGCATATGTTTTTTTGAAGTCAGAAAAAAAAACTTTAGATACATCCAAATGTAATTCTACATCGTATTCATATGGAGAAAGAATATGGGGGGGATTTCATACAAGAAGAGATATGAAAAACCAGCATCTGAAGCTGTGGTCCTTTGTATTTTGTCTTCCTCCTTGAATCAGGCTCCAGACCGATTTCTCTGGAGACACCCCATTTGATCCATGATGTATATTTAGATTAGTCAAACAACTGGAAATGATGTTGCCGTGAGAGTAAACGCAAGCCACTCAATTTTAGCCTCCTGCGAATTTTTAACACTTACTTGTAAGCCCACATTCCCCTGTCAGAATACCTTAAGATCATGGGTTCAATTCCACCTCAGATCATACTTTACTGTGTTCCATTCCCACACTTACTTGTGTTCAATTTGCACTTTCACATCATGTAGCAGGGGGGGGGATGCCAGGCGGCAAGAGCATAAATTCTCACTTGACACGTCAATTTCTCTAATTAATGAGTTACACTACACTACACCTGTAGTGTAACTTCTACTGTAGTGTAGCATAACTAGGCATGTAGTGTAGTGTGGTGTAGCTTAATTCGGTATAAGTTATGCTAAATGTCAGCGTCAAATCAGTTACACTATTTGACAGTCAAAATTTTGTTAG